AAACCCTAAACCTTAAACCTGACATCCCAAAGCCCAAGCCCTAAACAATGAAAGGCTCTCTCTGGCCGAAGGGATGTGGACTTCGAGATTCCAGCTGAAGCGAGCCCTGCCCTGATGTACGACTTGTTGGTGCTTGAGGATAGTAATAGTAATCGGAATATTCGTGGGAGTACTATACTGATTTTCGTCGTCGTCGTCGTAGTCGTGGTCGTGGTCGTGGTCGTGGTCGTTGTCGTCGTCGTGGTGGTAGCGGTAGTGGTAGTGGTGTGGTAGGGGTAGTTGTAGTGAAAAGGGTTTAGGAGATTGGGGTTTGAAGCCTAAGGCTTTAAGTTCAGAGTCCAGCAAGGGCAGCCGTGTCGATAGAATTTGTTTGGGTTTAGGGTTGTGGGCATTGGGGTTGGGGATGCCCGGGCTAGTAGTAACTTAGTAGCTCAAAGATGGAACCTGTTTACAGTTTGGCACTTATAATTACATGCATTGGGCAAAAGCTCCGCCACATCCAGGCACATGGTTTAGAGTGCAATAACAGAGAGAGGCGTCAGAGAGCCTCAAACACGAGCATGGATGTAACAGAAAGCCAGTCACACTCAAAAATGATACATACATCTCAAGCACCCTTAAAATCCTGCATAGTAGTACTTGTGAAGTTTCACCATGTTCCAGCCCCTGCTTTGATGTTTCATTCAATCTTTGCATGAGAATGTATATGAAACATTGTTGCGCCCCTGGGAAAGGCCATCAGCCTCGTAACGCTAAACTCTCCAGCTGCGGCTGCGCAGCGTAGGGGAAAACCTTTAGCTTTGTACCTTCGACCCAGCTTGAAGCTGGATGGGTCATTGTAAGTGGGGCTAGAATAGCCCCATCCGACCCAAAGTTGAAAACAAAGCAAGAACCTGGAAGAAAGGAATTTTCTAGACCCGGACACCTCTGCCTCGCGTCCTGGCCGAAGATCTGTCCATGCAGGGTGGAATAGCCTCCAAACAAGCATTGGGACCCACTTAAACTTCCTATAAACTATGATGAAGTAGTTGCAGTTGTAGGGCTCCTTTCAGGGCTTCCATCTTAGCACGGGGGAGGGTTCTGAAGTTTGGGGGCTTTTGATTTGAGGTTTCTTCTGCATTGCAGGGCTTGCCATGGTTTAGGATGAAAGCCCTGGGTCCAGTTGCGGAACACCGAAATGGGTTGTTGTTGGTATTCCGCAGATAAGGACCCACATCTTGGGGCGTAGGTGTCCCGGTGTAACGGTGCATGATTATGGAATTACCAGATCCTATCCCAAGGAACCTATACACTTGCCTTGTGTTTCAGCTTCTTTTCTGGAATATAGTTTCGTAAAGGAGCCTTCCGAGATATTCAGCCGGAATCATGTTGATTCTAGTTGTTGACGTCAAAAGCAGCCACATGGGAGGTCTGACCTCTGATCTCAGGTTCCAAATTGCCCATAACCCTGGACCCAACCCTAGACCACAGACCCAAGGCTGTAAACGCAACAGCTCAGGTGCCCGTACGTCTTCGATGAGAGCACCTTCATCCCAGGGAAGGAGGACCCTCGTAATCGAATCTCATAGACCAATTCTTCCTATTGGTCAGGGTTGACGGGCTTGGGTCTGGAGCTTGTGGGTCAAGGATCAAGGGTCAGAGCTCAGAGTTTGGCCGTTTGAGGTTTGGGGCTTTGAATTTTCGGTTGGGGAGTAACGCTTGGAAGTAGGTTTGCGGCTTCACTTAGTTAACTTACCGATGGCTGGTAGCAGTGGTTAAAGGAATATAATCCTTGTAGAATCCCTGTATATTATATTCCCTTATTCCCTGGTATAGCCCCAATACATGCTCCCCAATATAATGAAATGGTTTCCATTTTCTTTTCCATTATCCCTCTATAGCCCCAATATATTCCCCACTGACCCCCAGTAAGTTAATTGTCTCGCCTACCCAGGATTCGGGACAGGATGGGGTGCCCTCAGACCATCTACCTGGCTGGGGGTCCCAATAGTTAAAGCATGGAAACTACTACAAGATTTTGCGATTTATGGTAGTACCTGTAATACGGGTGAAATTACAGCATTTTTGGGGCTTATATTGGGGCCCCACTATTTAGGGAAACTACCATACGTTCTGGGCACGTCTAGCTTTTTAGGGCTCCAGTTTCGCAGCTGGCAAGCATGTCAATCAACCACAAGGAATAACAGCTATGATCACGTTTCCGGAAAAACTAGCAGGCGACTTCGCGCGGGTAATTATCGCGGTTTGCACGGTAGGAGTCTACGTGCACCTGCCACAGATCTGATCTGACGCTAAATTTCTGTTTCCAACAATCAGGGTACGCACAAGGTCCCCAAAATTGCAGATTCCTCAGCAGCAGGCGCAAGGGCGAGCATGCCCTGCTCTGCGGACACTCCAACAAACCGCCAACCAAACCGTGAACCCTAAACTCCTAAGAATCAAGTGGCAACCATCTGTCTCTTCCGGCAGTGGATTGCAGGCGCATGCCAATAGCGGTGATGAGCTGGCAACTACCTTCCAGGGCTTTGCCAGGACACTCGTCTGTTTGGGTTTTCTGGCTCGGAAGGTTACCACAGCACCAAAACTGTCAAAATGTGTAGGCCGAAGCCCAGAAACTATACCCTAAAGCCCCAGAAACCCTAGATGAGCCCCTTTGGCTTTTAAACTTTGTCTTATTCGTTTCAGGGCTTGGGGCTTTGCCCCACAGGTGTGCGCAGTCTTGCAAATATAACATGGTGTGGGCATCTGTGCAGTCAACGCTAGGATATGGCTTAGGGTCCGCCCAATTAATTAACCCAGGCCGAGCTGGCCAAGTTGGATGCGTTTGCAACAACACGTTCTCCCTTTTGTCATACCAAATCCCTAAAAGCCTTCAATGCCTCGAAACCCTACCTAACCTCAATTCAAATTCCGTCAACTCCACGCCCTGAAGGACTGGCGGCCGCGGCGTTGGCACCCGTAACAAGGCCAGTACCCACAACGGTACAGGGTTGCAGGCACGGTTCAAGGTGTAGCGGGCACTGGCAGACAGGGTTTGAGTAGGAAGGGGTGGGGCTGGGAGCGAGGGGGTTTGGCGGTTGATAAGAGTTTTGGGTAGAGGGTTTGGGTTGAGGGTTTAGGATATACATTTTAGAGTTTAGAGCTTCTTGGATCTGAAGAGTCTAGGTCTTATGCATTCAAGGCTTGGAGTGGAAGGTATAGATTCTAGGGCTACGCCTGGGTTTTAGGGTTGTTTAGGCCTAGAGTTTAGGGTTTTTTGGATGCAATGTTTGCAAGATTTTCCATGTTCGCTGTTTTGTAATGTTTTTAGTTTTCGGGCGTGCTAAGCAGGATGTCGAGCATAGGAGATATTAAGGCTCCAAAAGGGAAAGGGGCTTGAGAATACATGGGGAGTACACGGGGATGATGGGGATGGTCCCGGAGCTGCAAAATTTCTGTTAGGTTGTATACACTACATCATGTGAAGATTGATTGTTAGCTTCTGACAATCTTGACACCTGACCAGGTGATCTTAGTTGGGCTGACAGTTGCCTCTGCGAGCTTCGCAACTCGGCGTTGGATCCAAGACTATTTAGATTGGAGGACTTGGGATTCGGTCTTTAGGGTTGCGCACCCCAATCCTGAAACCACATCTCTGGAATGTCTGAAAGGATCGCTGTTGTTCAGGGACCCTGAGCTCCAAATTTTCCGATATAGCCTTTCGGAAACCTCTCAGTGCCCTTAGACGTATTCTGATGACTGTACAGCCACTGCGGTCAGAACTACTGGCGCAGCTCAGCGTACTCGAAGCCAAAAACCACAGCTGCAATTGATGTTCGTAGTATGTTGCAACCCCAGAACGCAGAACCAAAGAACGTTCAAACGCCCACAATAGCCCAAAGCCCAAACCTCAACACTCAATATCTGATTCCCTTAAACCCTCAGGCATTGGATCCCTATCCCTCCGCAAACAACCTCCAGGTTCGGGAGCTTGAGAGACGCCTGGGGGACGTATCAGCCGATAATGTCGACGGAATCGTCGCCGTAGCGCACAACGAAGGCCCCTGCCCCTGCTCCAAGTTCACGGCTTTACATCCCCATCCCTCTATCCACCCCATGCTAGATTGTTGCGATCTTCCATGCAACATCTTTTTACATGGAACTTTTTCAGATCTGATTAACGTTGTTGGCTTTGTGCTCAAGGGCTCCGAACGGGCGAAAGCTCATCGAGACTCAACGAACCCCTTTTTCAAAGCTGCCATGTGGAAACTCAAAGCCATCAGTCATTACAGCTTCATACCACCCAAGTTCCAGGCAAAGACTGTAATCAAAACTCGTGAGCGTCGGGGCCCAAAATCTAAAGGCTAGGAAGAAAGCAAGGAAGACCCTACCTGGATCTTTTCAATCCTTAAACTCCCCCGTCGGCGAATTTTGTTCATGTCTGCACAATTATAGTAGCACTTTAGGCACAAAGCCAGATTAGGGCAACCATGACCAGGAGAGGGAGATGTTCAGAACAACAAAGAGTTGCTTCTGCGCACCATTGCTGGGCCACTTTGCTGGTTTCATGCGTTCGTTGCGCAGTCTCCTGGTTTAGGGTGATAGGGTGTCGGAGTGTAGGGTAAGCGTCATGTGAGACCTGGGTAGCTGCTGCAGGGTGAGCAGGAAATACGTTCTTGAAAGGGAATATCATAGGCGCAAGCGCGTGAGTAATTGGCAAGAGGATGCGTTTTACAGCTGGGGATCCGCTACCTTCATGCACACCAAACCCCAAAAATGCCAGAATGTGCATGGTCGTTCAAAAAGAAGTTCCCAGAGGCGTCCCCTTCCCTCACACAAGCTACGCAGATTGGATTTTGGGACTTTCAGGCTTGCGGCAAAAATTTGGTTGCGACATTGGACCATCGGACATGCATGATTGTGAGCGCAAGAATTTTGAAGCATGGTAAATGAAAGGATATGTGAGGTAAAAGTTTAGTCTAGGCAGGTGGGGTAAGGCACCTGCACTGTGCTCGCAGGAAGATTGAGGCTGCAGCAACATGTGCCCACCATTTGGGAAGTAAAGTTTACTCCCTTCCGGGCATGGAGGAATGGTTTCTGCGATGATTGCAAAAGGGCTTTGAGTGACCCTGGAGCTGCTGAATTTTGTACTCTTCGCATGATAACCCAACTATAGCCGTATGCTGGTAGCGGTTCCCAAACTGTTGAAGGTGGCCGCCAAATCACGCTGAGGTTGTGGCAGCAAGAGCCCCGTATGTATGACGGCTCAGAGTCGGCATCACGTTGTGAGGTTTTGGGGTCAATTTATCAGGTCTGGCTCCCCAGTAGTGAATGATAGACGTAGCGAAGCTTCTTGTGGTTTTTCAACAGCCCGTACTAGGTGGGGGAGGATCACAGAAACTACCATTTAACTCAAGGGCATGACAACCCCCCTGTTTTGTGCGCATATCCCTCTTGTAACCCACGTGTAAGACGTGAAAAAATCGTGCACAGTTCCTGAAATACGCGCAAAACTTCATATAGTTGCTCGCCAGAACCCTGAATCTCAGACCCCCAGCCCTCAGCTGAACCCCAAGCCTCTAAACTCGAGGTTTCTGGTTCACCCTAACACTGGTGCGGCGTTGATCGTGGCCACAGGTTCCGAGTGCGGAGGGGAGTACTCCCTCGCCTTCTTTAGTAGAGTTTGAGGGGTTGAATTTGGGGAAATTTTGGCGTGAGGTCATGCAGGAAAAATGGGCGGGATTTCTTATCCTTCAGACTTAGAGGCTCTGAGTTGATGTGGGTTCCTGCAAGAGAGCAATGCGTTGGGTCTTCGGAGTTCTGGGTTCAGGGTTTGACGTTCAGGGCTTTGGATTGCAAGTGTAGAGTTGTTGGGGGTCTGCGCTTAGAGGTAGGGGGTCTGTGGAGTGTGTGTTGAGGAATGATTCTGGCGTTTTATTCGAGAGAAAGCTTGAAGGCTCCCCAACATGCTATGCGTGTCATGGGGTTGTACATGGACTACGGGTTTGGGATACTGACGCTGTGTAGCTCTCATGGTTCAGGGCTCAGTGCTGTGCGTGCCACGCAGGCCGCGAGCGCAACGTGACGCTGGAAGAGCTTAAGGAGTACATGGCCAAAGAGCAGCGACTCTTCGGGAATGGGCTTTGGTTGCTTTTCGGGCGGCTCAGGGTTTGGGATGCTTAGGCGTTAGGACTGGGATGCGGGCTGGGGAACATCGGCTTTTGCCACTGAATGATCGTGCTGGGGCTTCAAGGCCTAGGCTCCTTCAAAACATAAGGCACCTGACGCGCAGGCATAATTGAGGGACATTTCTAGCACGGGCGGGTCATCCAGGACATTCCAGCATGCGTGAAAGAAGTATGACCCCCAGCTGACCATTTAAACCATAGAGTCTGACTGGGGAACTTTCAAGCTTCAACTCTGTGTCTCCAGGATGATTTCATGTTCCAGGTGCAAGTACAACTACAGACACGAGCGAACAGTTCGCTCCCAAGCCACAGGGTCGGACCCACGAATCCTAGGCCCAAATTCCTTGTTGCGAGTTCTTACGCTAATTCCGAAGCAATCTTGGAATTTGATAGACCAGCCAGTATCACATACTGAGTGCATTGGAAGCCTCTGGACCAAAACCTTTTGAGGAAACATGAAAGCGACCCCCAACCCTAACTGGGGAGTTTACCATCTGCGGGAAGGGCTTGCGCATCTCTTTCAGCTTGCAGCGCTGAGGTATCCTTCAGCGCATGTGCCGCCTGGGGCTTAGTGTACGCAGGCGATTTGGAGTTGAGGGTTTAGGATTTCAAGATTCGGGCTTGTCGTAGTGTTCAGAATTTCGAGTGCAGAGCTCGGGGAGAGGGGTTCACATGGATCCCCAGAATATTACTGCAGGTAGGTGGGGTCGCGAGTAGCATCTTTCTTGCAGGTGAACTGCATTTGATTGCCTTGCCTGAAAAGCTGCTTCAGCTCCTAAACCTTAAACGTTCCAAAACAGAAAGTCCTTAGAGCCTGTAGATTCTCAGGCATGACTACGCCGTCCTCAGCGGCAGCTGGCGCGAGGATCTCAAACAGGCAGAGGACGCTTGGGCATCAGTGTTAGTTTGAGGATTAGTAGGATTTATGGCTACAGGCACAGGGTTGACGGGTTTAGGGGTTTTTGGAGTTCTGTTCTTCTGTGCTGAATTAGGGTAAAGATTCCTACGCTTGCATGCTCCGTACATTCCAGGTGGGCTCAGGATTCAGAACGGTGTTTCTGACTGCAGGGTTGGACTATGGTTGATGGAGGCAATCTTGCTACAAATTGCACGTCGCAACAGTTCTGATTTACGCCCACTTAGGTACCTGGAGTGATGCCAGCTGTGCTCCATCAAAAGTGGGGTGCAGGGCGGAAGACTGTTTTCTCAGCTTTGCATGAACCCTGTCCCTCAGAAGCACTAAGCATTGCAGCTCTGCGCGTTGATTCCCCATGGCGGAAGGAAAGCTTGGACGGGATTTTAGGTTATCATTGCGAATTGCTCGAGCTTGTCATTCTATCAGTCTATCGCAAGTGCACTATGCCATCAACGCCCCAAAGTTGTATTTTCTCATCCCTCAATCTTCAACCCGAATGCCTCAATTACTGCCAAACGCCAGGCCCTAAACCCCAACATGTAGAATGCGACGCGATTCCATCGAAATCCGAGGATGTGGTGCGCGGTTCCCTCGTGCCGGCCGCGGCCAAGGACCGACCGTGGCTCTATATAGGGGTTTCCCAGAATTAGGAGTATCTTTTAGGGGGTCCCTCTAATGAGGATTCTAGTGTTTTTTGGGTTCAGATTGGGGTTCCCCCCTCATAGAGAAACTACCATATTGTTTTGAAACCAATTGCAGGATTAGGTTTTACAGTTCAGGGGCGCATCCCGCAAAGGGGTGGAGGTTCCAAACTTCCAAAATAAACCCACGATTTTCTTTGAGCAAGCCAGAAGGTCTGGAGCATTGTACAGAGTATCCTCACCATGAAGCACAATCATGTCAGCGGCTTCAGTACTATTACCCACTAAACTTAATATTACTATCACCATGCCATTACTATTACTACAACGATTCTTGCCACTATTAGTACTGTTCTTATTTAGGTGGACCTCCCACCCAGTAATAGTGGCTATGAGGGATAATGGTGATTATACTAGGGCCCTCGTATATTCTTATACCACTATTGCAGACTGGGGAGGTCCACCTAAATTGCAGTTGTGTTGAGCAGTTCATTGCTTTTGGAGACCTCTTGGGTCATTCCCCCTTACAGTGCCTGTCCCTAAATGGGCCTCATCAAGGGGACAGTATAGCTCTCATTACCCAGTGTGGCACCTGTTCCTGTAAGGGGGTGACCAAGAGACCCCCCTCTGCCAGTACGTCCGAAGTGCACAGCCCGTGTCAGCGTTGCGAATTGCGCTGCAGTGTGCGAAGCCCAGTCCACTATTAGTTCGATTATTAGTAGTACAACATTACTGTGATTTCTAAGTTATTATTATGATAGTATTCTGATCAACTTTATGAGTTTCGGGTTCAGACCCTACAGTAGAAGGAGTAGGCGGCCTTGTTTTGGGGCTGTGTTGGGATGTTATGTAGACCAGGATTGAGAAGCATCTTGCCGAAATTGCGGTCCCTTCTTCGGGTAAGACCGGGGATGCCTGACTTGCAGAAATTTCTGGCGAGTTGTATGGAGGCTGTCTATGAGGAGTACTGTAAGTATGGTAGTGTTACTTTACACACAGCGGCAACGGTAAAGGAAGAAATATTCCTGACAACATCTGTGGCAAGATTGAGAAGGCATATATGATCATGCGCATTTCTCAAGGCAATGGTTTGGGCTTGGCGTGAAACGTGGGATCGCCTGTTTCGTGCATTGCGACGCTGGGATTCTTAGCTAGCTTTGGTTGCGGAATGTTGCTCCTATATCGTCTCTATTTCGTTAGAAGCGCAAACCCTCATCTACTGTAATTCTTCTGATCTCAAACTTGAGGCCCCGAAGCTCTCATAAATTCCAACGACACAAGACTGCAAACCTTAACCCCAACAAAACATTAATTCTTGAACCCCAGAACTCCTTAAACCTCAAGAGACCCAAAGTCCCTTGACGCGCGCTGAATGCTGCAGCCAAAGCCCCAAGCGGAGGTGGGGGCTCTGATGCCTTTAGCGGCCTCACAGGCAACCCACTGGTGGGCGAGGTGTCCAAGCTCTTGATTGAAAAAGGCCCTTTGGGGAAGGGGGGGACGACAAGGGCTTCAACCCGGATATTTAAAACAACTTGTACAATGAAATTGTAATCGATCGCGTTTACGGTTATAGGGTGTCAGGTACGTAGTATGGCCTAGGTTTCGGAAGGTCGAAGATGAACAGCTGCCAGGTCTTGATATCAGGGCTTGAACTGGTGTGCTGATCAGGTTGACATGTGAGTATACTGAGTATACTGGAGCAGATTTGAGGCTTTCACTCGTAGCGCATTGCACCCATGTGTGAGGTTTGTCGATCCTAGCATAAGACCGAGAGCCAGCAACCTGAGACCCCTGCATCCCAAGCGCAGCAGGCCACTTACATCTCGAAACTCTAGAGCCTCCACTTTTAACCTAATATTTCCCGAAACTCCCCAAAGCGCAAAGCACGGAGCACGCTACACAGCCTCATTACCCATATACCCCAACCTCAATTCTCAGCACTTTTTGCCCCCCTGAAGAGGCGGCCTCGCGCTCCTGGCCGAGTCTCCAGAGCTCGTCGGCGCCGAGCCGTACGTGCGTCTCGGCAACAAATAGTAATCGTACTAATAGCAATGCTGGCAATGCTAGGTAATAATAGTAAAAATAGTAATAATCGTAGTAATAGCAGTAATAGTAAAAGTCAGTCTTTAGCGCTTAGTACGAATTAAGGGCTGAGGGTCTAAGGTTCAGAGATGTGTCAGATCGTCATAGATGAGGTTTGTTGGCGAGAGTGATTACTTCATCTCCAGCCTGCTAAGCTGGAGTTTCCAGTAGGCTGCTGCACCGTCAGAGGGCCAAATGGGCAAAGCAACGACAGATCTTAGGCTGTCCAACTGCAGAAACTTGGAGATTGCGCGGAAGTTCCTGATGATGCCGCATGGCATGACTCAGTGTCCCCAGAGTCCCTAACCCTTAGCTCCTGAATCGGAAGTGTTTAGGTTTTCGGATGAGGTTCTAGACCTCACCCGTGGCTCCAATTACTTGCAGTTTAGTTGCTTTATCGCTGTAAGCACCAGGTGGAAGCCCCCTATGCAGCAGGTAAGTGCAGCTGCAGACGAACGACCTCTAACTAAGCTTGAGCGCCAAGCCCCAGGCCCTGGACCCCATCCCTAGATCGTATAGCCCCAAACTTCTATAGAGTATCTTCAAAGAGGACATTCGTCTCTGAAGGACCCCTCTGTGGTTTCCATGCTAGCTTGAGGGCGGGTGGGAACTAGCCTAGCCTGCCACCCGCCAAGGACGGAGCGCTACAAGAGGTATGCTTCCCGTCATGGACAGGACTTCCACGGCAGAGTAATCAGGGTTTAGGATTCATGTCTGTGGTTGGGGTGAAGGGTTATAGGAATTTGAAGACTTCGGGTGCTGGTGTGACGGGCATGCTTTTGTCGATCCATACCTCGAATTCCCTGGCCTAGAGATGCATAGTGAGGGGGACTTGCTAGGGTCGCCGAGTGGGATTCATAAGGTTTGATCATCTTGGTTGCATGACTCAATGATCTGCACGCTTTTTTTGCCTTGTATCGAGGGTAGCAGCTTTTCGGAAACAATGTGAGCCTTAAACCCTACCCCTGGCGCCATTCCTCAAATGTGGGAACTGGAGTTGCTGAATACTGAAAACATCGAAGCCGAATCCGTGGAAGGATGCAGCTGGCAACCCCTCCGGCGGCAACCTCTACCGTGGTCTCTACAACATCGTGTGCCTCTGCTAAAGGGCAAGGAAGCCTGCAGCACGCAAAATCACATTCTCATGCATGTTGCCATGTCAAGTGGAAACAGGGAACTCCGAAGTTCATGTTTTACCCCTTTTTTGACTTCAAAGGCCCTGGCTTCAGACTAGATGGTCCAGTTTTTTGGTCGTGGGATTCTGCTTGAGCTGTTGGGTGGAGCATATCTCTTTCAAATACAGGTCCCTTTCTTGTGTCCCGACTCGTGGCCTTCGGAAATAGCATCTTGTTTAAACATAAGTTTTGGGACTTGCATCAGGGATCCCCATGTCTTGAAGTCTCACAGATATGAGGGGATGACCCTAACTGCAGCATGCGTTGCAGTGTGTCCACGTTTATGAAAAGCTACCAAATTTCATCTTCAGAGAAAACAGCTACAATCAGGTTTCCCAGGGACGCTGAGTCAAGGAAAGTTTCAAAATCATAGGCCGGGCTCCCCGAAGAACATAAGTTCATCCCTGCACTCGACCATGAGGTTTCGGGTTCAGGCTTTTGGGTCAGGTTGTCGGGCAAGTCATTGGCCCTGATTTAGTGCGAACACTGAAGGATCAAGAGCCTGGGAGCTTCCCGCAAGAAGCCACCCGACGTTGTCCTGGATGAATGCATCGAGTACAGCGAACGTGTGGGAGACCGTGCAGGACGGGAGTTTCTCAAAAAACCCAAAGCTTCTGAAACTGGAAATGTCCCTGGAATCTTCGTATACTTGAAGGACCTTTCCCAATGTCTGGCTATTAGCTCTTAGGGTCGAGGACAACCTCCGAAAAGGCTCTTTGGGCCTTGTTGCTTATCTGACAGGGGTATATGTCTGTTAGCTTGCTTGGTAATCAACAATCAACAGAAATTGGCAGTTCTTACACAGGTTCAACATGAAACCCTAGGTCCTACATGAATCCTGAGCTTTGGAACGCCCACACAAGCCCGTGAAGCTAGGCTGCCTTTATGAGTGGACCCATACCTTTGGCATGTGTAAAGGACCCCTTCAGTCTCAAAAGCAATTTGGCGAACACGTTGCGTTGTCAGTTTGGGCCCGTTGCGTCTTGAGGGTTGAATCAAAGTGAAATATGAGATTCCGGGCACAACACCTTGAGGGACCCAAAGCTATCGAAGAATATTATGTGTGTGTATATATATATAGAGATCCCCGTAATGACACCATTCTGGCCCTTGTGTAGCCTTACGTAAGTAGATTCCCTAACCAATTGGTAAACCCACGGTCTCACCCCTTAGTCTGCCTTAACCAGGGCACTAAACCCTAAATAGTAGTTTCCATTTTCTTTTCCAAATTATACCTGTATAATCCCTATATGACCCCTACTAATCCGTATATGACCCCTATATAAGCCCTATGTAAGCCTCTGTAAACCCTGTACAAACCCCCTTTATAACCCCTCTATCAACCCTACAACTTGTGATATCCGTGGAAAGTCATCCTTCCAAAGCCTATTTCTAACAGGCAAGTGTATCATGTTCATCTTCCTGGTGGTTCGTACGGAATGAATTAGGAATATATTGTATAGAGGATATATAGGGACTACCTTCCTTATTATTCCCTACTAACCACTAATAAGTCATGTTAACATAGGGACGACAAGTTTCGACTTGGCAGGTTATTTCTTCATGGACTCCCCAGGGAACGACTTGGAGTCCATAGCTGGCTTCTCGACCTGACAGTGTAGCAGGTCCGGGTGTTCAGTCGTGTTCCGTTTTTTGATGTGAGGAATTGAAGTCTCCGAAGCAGAATCTTAAGGTGGAGTGGACATCAAATAGCTGAGCAAACTTCTTCGTGAGCCATACCCTGAATACTTAACTGTAAATCCCAAAGACCTTGTTTCATTGTCCAAAATTGAGGCTTTAAGGAGGCCTGATGCAAGTTTCACAGAGCCAGTCACGGAAACCCTACGAATCTCAGAACCCCTGAAACCGTAAACCAAAAAAGGCTCAACCCCAATCCCTACGACTTAGTGCAAAATTTGAGGCCAGGTGGCAAGCGGCTGCAACGTGATCTTCTTCGTGACAGGGAACGGCGTGGCTTGGTTGAGGGTTGAAGGGTTGACGGGAGGATTTAGGGTGGGGGGTGTGTCGGGGGTTTCGGGGTCTTAAGGGCCTTGAGGGTTTCAGGTTCATAGTCTTGGACTTAATGGAGTGTTTGGAGTTGAACGCTCAGGGTGTCCAAGATGAAGCTCGATTAGCAGATTAGCACTGGACTTGACTACGGTCCTCCTAGGGTAGATATCGGAGGCTGCTTACCGGGTCGAAGCCTTGTAACTCAAGGACAATAATATGGAGAACCACTATAGTTGCTCTAGTTAAAGGCATCCTGGATTCCAGTCAGAGTTTTCCGTTCTGTTCCAAGCCAGTGTCTTCCATTCTTCTCCAAGCTTCAGGTTCCGGAATTTTGAAAATGACTTGATTTCCATACCTCAAGCATCTGGCGTGGCTTAAAGTAAGCTCTGAAGCCACTCAAACAGAAGGCCCTGAACCCACAGCCCCCCACACCAAGCTCTAAAATCCCCAAACTCCACGTCCTAGATCCTGAAGCCTCAGCACCCAAATTTTCCAGAAGGCGGTATAGCAACTTATTCTACTGAGTATGTGAGGGGTATGGGCACTTGTTTACGGGTATTGTAAAGCCCAATGTAGAATTCAAGCAGGCTAGGGTTTCGCATTGCAAAGAAGAAAGAGCCCAGCATAATGGTGTCGCCAAAAAGCATTCCTGGCGCTGTGGCTGTCATCGTGAACAGGATTGCCTTCAGAAGGGATGTGGATGTTCTGCGGGTGTTATTCAACTGACGAAGCCCCTATGTTTCTGAACCAGTTCTTTCTCGTGCAGTGGTTGCATTGTAAATAGAGTCGTCAAAATGAGGTGAGAAGGGAATGGAGGATAAGGAAAGCTAAGGCCATCACGAACTTCCCCTTCGTGCCCACGCTGAAAGTGGTGACAACAAGTGGTCGTTTCCGTATCCTTCAGAAGGAGTTTCGTCTGCGAGGGTCAAGGTCCGAGTGGATGTTCTCGGGGGACACTGTAGTCCCCACTATAGATAGTCACCAAAATAGAATCAGATTAATTTCCCTTTCGGTTATGATATATGTATATATTTAATTATAACTTTGGAAGCTATTTGCCCGTTGGAGCTACTAAGGGTCTTCTTGAATGTGTTCTGAAGTCTGCTTGAAGATTTCCAGACCAACGGTACAAGAGACCATTCTTAACGTGTTTCGGATATGGAGGGGCGTAGCAGAATCCAGACCATAATCCTTTTTAGAGCTCCCAGAAGAGGGGCTCTGCCTTTGAGCTTCTGCGCCCGAATTGTTGGGGAGCGCGCTTTAACGATTAGAGAGGGCCCAACATTACGTGGAGCAAGCACTAAGAAATCACCGCTCAATTCAGAAGCAGACTCATCGGCGACTAGCGCTGAGCGAGAACAGGGTCCTGAAACGACGAGCCAATGCTCCGTGTGGGCATTGTATGAATACAATCTTATTTGGCTCAGCAGCAAGAATGCCCAATTCAATTGAGAAATGGATTCATTGTGGCCTATCAGTCCCTGGGTACCCAGTAATTTACGCAGTAGGTTTCTGGATTGTCAGTGTAGATGTAGGCGAAATGTGGACTTAGAAGGGTCTTCAGGGCAAGCTTGTTTTCGAATTCCGGAGCCTCCACCCCAACCCGGATACTCTACTCCGTAGAATCCAAAAACTGCTGTTGATAGTGAAAATCATGCATGACCTTGGTATACTAGAACAGCTTCGCAAAAGGTAGAAGAACTTGCGGTCGTGCTGGAGTTTTTGCAACTAGCGAATTCAGACTCGTCAACCCCATCGGCGCAAGCCACATATCAGACCTGCCCAGTGAGTTAAATGTTAGCTTCTCATGATGAGCTAAGTTCCCAGAAGGATCTGCACGCCCTAAACTCGAACAACCTCCGCGACCCGAAGAGATAACATTTTTTCAAGGAGAGCGGTCACAGTCAAAGACCCTGAACCCTCTTAACCTAAACCCCAAAAAACCCTCGACCTCAGCTGCCCAATAGCCTTCCAAGAGACCTCCACTTTGGAAGGAGATGGACGTCAATGCCGGGCTTCTCACGGAGGGCATTGAACTTCCCGAGCTGGCACGCCGCGTTTACGGTCAGATGTGCCCCAGCCAAGCTGAGATCTTTTGCCTGCTGATGCTTAAGCCGTCAGGGAGTGACTACAGACACTATTTGAGTTATTACAGGGATCTGCTCCCACACTGGCTTTTGGGCATCAGTAGAGGTAAGTTTTCTCTGTGTAAGCACGTGAGGGCCAAAGGAGATTATTCTGGGAAACTGCAGGCTTTTGCTCCGTTAAGGTTTAAGGGTTCAGGGTAGCTGCAACCCCAAACCCACGAACACGGACCTATGACTTTGTTGCAGGGCCGTTGGTTTTGGGGGGTTCGGTTCTGAAGTCGTCCACATTACTGTTAGCATCTTTTAGCTAAGATGTGGAGGCTGAGGCATTGATATGTGTTGTTTGGGGAGGGCCTGACATCTGAATTTGGGAATTGGAGTACGGCTTTCAGGTTTAGGGCGGTAGCGTTCGGACCTTGACCTAAGTGTCTGTGCCATCCCTTCTTGCAGGGCTTAGTTTACTTTGACCTTCTGACCCGGTACCTATCTGGGGGGTTCTAGAGCTGATCCTTCAACAAAAGACCAGACCATACGCGAAAAGGAAAGCACAGTAAGGGGCAAAGTAAATGTTTCAACCTTGAGAATCCCGAGCCCTAAAGCCCTTTCTAGTCCCTATGCCCTCGACCACCAACCCCTAACTAAACCCTACACCTGCCTAAAAACCTACAACCGGAACCCTCCAACCCGTATACGCCGAGTTTTCATGACATGTTCCCTGTTCTTTTTCATTTGTTGCCAGTACCCTTCAGTCAACCCCCCCAGACTGTTAGATTTTAGGGCTTAATCCCTCCAGTCTGCTGTATCTGAGGCTTGACGTTGTGGCGGGCACGCAGAGCAAAGGTGAGATGACAGGCAGCCTTCCGAGGGTTGGGATTTGGAGGGGTTTTGGGGCCCCAGAAATACTTGCTCATCCCAAAAACTGGAGCCCTTCAAGCATGTGCAGGGCTTTAGAATCTACCCTCACCTCAACCCTAAGCTCGACACGAATCCCAAGCCCCAACGTAAAGAAAGCCCTTGTATTCCCCAGTGCCCAGGCATTAGCCAAGTATCCATCTGGCGCAACTGGTTTCTGGATGACGCCCAGAAGCTGAGCGACCTGCAGGCGAGGTTGGGTTCAGGGTATTTCAGAGTGATTGATCCCGTGCAAAAGTTCTGCTCAGAGAGAGGGCTTCTGGTTTGCATGGACTATCGAGATGTAGAACTGGGGGCTTTATAGCCAGGTATTACCTCGTCTTGTCTCCAAGATACTATTCTGAGTAATGCAATTGTTTCGTAACATAGCTAACCGTTAGCAGCTAACCAAGCTTACGGGCTGGCTTCGTGCTGTGGCTATTAATTCCCCTGCTGGTGATGAGGTGTTTGGGGGGATCCCATAAGGGTAAGCCAGTTTCCCGTAGACCCAGGAGAATCCTCAGGAGCCTTTAAGTCCTTCATAAAGGTCCCTCCCGAAGCTAACTCAATGGAACCATACGCTTTTTGCATGCAACTTGCCACGAGGAATCTTGGCTGAACCTGGATCCCTAATGCCTTTAGCCACTACCCGACCCTAAGCCCCGAATCCTTGTTATGGCGTTCAATCTTCTTGGGTGCATTTCATTGTTGCGCTGCCCAATACCCATTACTTCTTCAAGCGTATTGATTGCCGCATACTATGGTTGAAGGTGCAATTGTAGCCACAACAGGATGCCTTCTGAATGAAAGGAAAGGTGTGATAAAGCCCTCAGACAAGATTGTCATGGTCTTCCCGGAACCTTCTAACTGGTGTTCCTTACATAACTAGTAAAACGGCACGCTTGCAAGAATTCCTATATTTGGCCATGTACAGGGGTTTCTCGAAGCCATTATCATATACCATGACATATACACCTTTGCAGGTGCTCATTATTGTAATATACTACATAGTATATATCATGATATACTACAATATACCAGAATAATTATACTATAATGTATTAGAATATATTGTAATATATTGTAATATACTACGATATACTAGAATATACTCCTATACCACCTCCCAAGAGTCACCAGACTACGCGGTACTGCGCTGCCTGTGTGGCCAGGCGTCTTTCAACTTCGAGCAGCAGGACACCTCTAGCCATGATTTTTGTAATTTTTTTGGGCTTTGCTTGCGGCTGAAGAAAGCTACCAAAAGGCATGGTGTTCATTTTGAACGCTGAAGTAGCTACTGGTCTTCATACATACTCAAGAAACCAGTTCCTCTCTCTGAAAGTTGGAGGTGTTTCTGTCCTATCTGAACAGAGCTGGCCAATTTTTCTTTCGAAAGTTGGGAACTTGAGCAAGTCCACACCATCCTCTTTAGGCGAAAAAGTAGCTTGGTCTGCCTAGGTTTGGGCGTGAACGCGCCTGCCTGTATTCTGCTTGAAGGCGACATGTCCCATCAGTCGTTTCTCAGGGCAGAAAATTGTGTCTCCAACAGGTACTTTCCTTTTTTGGGAGTACAGACGTTTTGGCCAGATCTCTTAGCCTAAAGGACTTGGGCAGGGAGATTCCTGAAAAGACATCGGCTTCACTTGCCCCATATCCCCCTTCCTCAGCCTCAACCCCAGCTGAGATGCCGTCCAGCAGCGTAGGATCTGAAGCAACCACCGGTCAAAGTCAAGCATCTTGGCTGAGAACAGACATTCTTGAGGCCTGGCGGGGGTTGTGAAAATCCTAGATTAGCCTTTAGGGTGTAGAGTTCTCAAGTACATCTTTCCTTTAGGTTTCCACAAGATGGCATATCAGTGTGTAAGGTTGCGTGCATGAATACGCGACACTCCTGGCCCCCATGTCTGGGAATCAAGATCTTCTTGGCCCTGAACATTCCACTTCCAATGCCAAATGCCATCCCCAGACTCAACCCTCCTAAAGCATTAAAGGTTAACCCCCCCCCTGGGCAACCCCGAGCCAAGTGTGGCCTAGGCAAGAAGCCCCCTGGGCCTTGCCTGAGGATGCAGCAGACACTCATCGCAAGAGCTATGGGGTTTACAAACTTTCGTGCCGTAGGGCTAAGGTTGGTTTTTGGAACTCGTGTGTGGAAATGCGGCTTGTCCTAAGGACTGATTAGGGACTGGGAAGAATTGGCCGCACAAATACAGTGGCGATTTTCCAGCTCTAGGAAAGTACTCGTCCTGTTAGTGGGCTTCTAGTTCAATGCGGTTCCATTGGTTGTCTCAAACACGTCGGGAAAGAGTTTCGTGGCAACCCCCCATTCTGTGTGCTGAGCCATCGTGGACTCCTTATGGCCCATCTGAGACACAAACTGTACATGTTTTTGGCCTCACACTGCGGGACACTGTTGAACTTGATGGGTTTTTTGTTGTAACAAGCATGTTGAAGCGATTTAGCTTCAAGTGCCGGAACCTTTTCCAGATTTCTTATTGAGTTTCGTGGGATTTCAACCAAATTTGTTTGCAAGCAGGACAGGTTAGAGTAGTAAGTGTATTTTGCCATGCAGCACAAGGCCAACATAGTTCATTAATTAATGCAGCAAAGAATGCAGCTCCAACTCTTAGTCCTTCAGTGCCAGACCTAACATAAGGATAGCAAGCTGACCCCAGGACTCGAAATTCGCACTGAGTAGGTTCTTACACGAGACCGGCCCAGTCATCAGTCATTGTGACTAAGCATGTGAGAGCAGGCACACCCTCAACCTAAAGCCTCCAACCAACTTGCAATCCGAGGGTTGTGGAAGACCCCTACACCCTAAACGCCCATCTCTGACACGTCGGCCCCTGAGCAGAAACCCAAACACCCTGAAGCTCAGGCATGACGTCCTTTT